GAGATCTCTATCTTCGAGCTCTCGGCTCAGGGCTGGGTTCTTGATTTCTGTCGCTCTCTCTCTCCCATGGAGTTGGAAGACTGGCAACGTCTTACTGCCTGCTTCCCCTTGCTCTCGGAGGAAGAGGATGCGGTTAGCTGGCCTCACTCTGCTTCTGGGCGCTTTTCAGTGAAATCTGCTTACTCCAAACTTATCTCAGGTGCCCGTACTGCTAAATTCAAGGACATTTGGCTCGCTCGTATTCCTCCTAAGATAAAAAATTTTCTCTGGCAAGCCCTCCGGCGTAAACTTCCTGCGGCTGACCAAATCAAAAAGAGGAACAGGCCGGGTTCTGACAAATGCGCTCTTTGTGGAGCTATTGAAAACACCGAGCATATATTTTTTCACTGCTCTTTGGCTAAATTCCTTTGGAGCTGCATCAGACTCTGGCTTCATGTTAATTGGTATCCCTCCTCCTTTGAGGACTTAAGGCTTTATGTTAATACCTTAGCAATGCGTTCTAAAAGGGTGTTCTGATTGGGATGGGCGGCGATATGTTGGTCGCTCTGGACTACGAGAAACAAGTTCACTATTGAATATACTTTCCCCGCTAACCTAGTCAGTTGCTTATTTAAAGCCAATATCCTTTTGCAGCAGTGGAAATCATTGACTAAGGAAGAGGACCTAGAGGCCTTTGATGACATGCTATCTATGATGAGATCTACGGCGTCTTCTCTGCTGCGGCTTTCTAGGAGGATGGCTTAGTTTCGGTTAATGTGGGAATTTCTGCTGTCCTGCGTGCCTTTCCTAGCTGGTTGCCATGTATTTGCACTATTTATCTTGCTGTGTTCGGATGGCCGTTTGGTACTTACGTGTGACTCTGCCTGGTGGCTTTATTTATAAAGTCGGGCGTATGCCTTTCCTCTAAAAAAATAAGAAATGAGGGGTGTGCATGCTTTTAATGACTTGAGACTATCAAACACGACATGCAATGGTTAGTTTATTGCATGAAATACTATTAATTAGCAAATAAACATTAATTTCTCTCGTTTTCCCATCCTCCTTGATCACGGTGCACAACCTAAGATGACTTACTCACCTAGACGGAGGGAGTAGTTTGGTTGGGCTCTGGTCCCTGAGGTTGTGGACTTGTGTAGGCTGGATTGTAATTCCCTGGATCCTTGATTAATACAAGTCATACTCGCAAAAAAAAGCAGGAGATGATTGTCAAAAAAACCATAGAAGAAGATGCTTCGCGTACTAAGAAATAAGAGCATCTACAGCCGGGCGCCTATATCCGTCTCATACACCCGGGCAGGCCGTCCGGTCATTGACCGGTCACAAAAAATCGACCCAACCGAAGCTCTCAAACGGGACTCAAACACCCGGACTGACCGGCACCCCTCATATCCATCCCAAATGTAGGGTGGATATGAGGTGGCCCGGGCATGCCCGGGCGCATCCGCCACATCAACCCGGCCCACCCTGATCCCACAAAAACCCCGCCTGGCAGAAACCCTAGGTCACTCCGCTCCCCTCCCCTCCCCGACGCTCCCATTTTAACAATCCGCAAAATCCCTAGCGCCGACGAGCATGTCCAGCACCGGTAGTCACTACGATAGTAGCTCCGGAGGCGAGGAGGAGCTGGCGCTCCGTATCGCTCTTGAGCGGTCACGGGTCGATACGGGCGGCAGCTCCAGGTCCGGTGCGACGCCACCTGTCGTCCGTCGCAGCAGCACCGATGCCGGCGCCGACCCTTCCTGTCCCGTGCGCGGATCTGCGAGGCCTGCCCGATCTGCTCCTTCCGCCCGATGGCCTCCTCTACCTCCAGCCGTTGCTCCGCGCGAGCAACGTTGAGTTCTAGTGCCCACTCCGTCGACGCCGCGGATGCGGACTCCGGAGTTGGAGGCATGTGCCGCCCGCCGCGAGAGGCAGAGGTCAAGGGAGATGGTGGGCGGGTATGACGGGTCTGTGTAGTCCGCCCGTCGCAGCCGGGTGCCCGACGATGAGGACCGTCTCTTCGAGTGGACGTGCCGCCCGTTAGTGACTGAGGCGGAGACGAAGGCTCGACAGCTCTTGAGGCTCAACGCCAAGCAGCTCCGAGTCGACATTGAGCAATCCGAGCGGGACGCGGCGGAGGCAGTGCAGGAGGCAGCGAGGGTGGCCAAGCTCAAGCGCAAGCAAGACCACGCCATCCGGCGCTTGCAAGGCTACATCGTCATCTCCGATTCCTCCTCCGACACAGGTCTGAAGGCTCCGATGTGGACCCACCTCCTGCCGCAGACTCCTACAGCTGCGCCCGCCACCGGAAGGGCAAAAGGCCTACGAGGAAGTGGTGAAGATCCGTCTTAATTTCAAGTTTTTAGATGTAGTTTGAACTTGTCCGCCGTATTATGTGTATTATGTGAACTTTGACTATCTTTTGATGTCCCGACTGTGATCTTTTGATGAATCGATTGTGCATTTGTATGTCTGCCCATGATCTACGTAATTCTTATCAACGTTGCATGGTTTAGTATTAATATAGGGGAGCAAATATGAGATACGAGCGGGTGTGGAGACGTGTATGTAGAGAATACCCCGTCAGTGTCCGTGGGCGTGCCCGGGCACATCCACGGATGTATAGGGGGGGCGGATTTGTCAAAGTCCGGCTGTAGATGCTCTAATGGGCCTAATTGGAAATGTCGTTTAGTAGCTGGCCAAACAGGCCGTGCTAACTGGGCCGGCCCGGTAGCACGCAGGAACGGCACAACCCAGGCACGGCACGACCCAGGATAAACGGGCCAAGCATGGCACGCGACACGCCATGGGCCATGCCTGGGCCTGAAGGTTGGGCACGCGGGCCGGCACGACACGACCAGCTTAATTATGTTTTGAAATATATATGTCCTATATAAATACCTAGTACTCTAATATGTTCAATAATTCTGTAGTGTACGCGTACATTTGTAGTGCTCTAATATGTATTTTTTATCTTTTTATAATACTTCACCATACTTTTTATATTTTTTAGCTTTTTCCCGTGTTATTTGAAGGTATTTCGCAGGAAAAAATAATCAAACCGACATGGGCCCGCGTGCCTAAGCATGCCACGGGTCGGCCCACTTAACTCCCGTGCCGTGCTTGGGCTGCTGCCTGCAGCACGTGGGCCGGCACGACACGGCCTGATGTGCCGTGCCAGGCACGTTTACGGCAGGCCGGGCCGTGCTGTGGGCCTGTTTGGCCAGCTCTCTGCCTCCCGGCCCTCGATATCCTGCTACCACTAAAAAAAAGGGCGATGCTAGGAGCCGGTGCACCGGCCGAACGTTTCGGCCGATCCAGCCCTAGCCGTTCGATGCGAGCCGCGCGCGGTTGGATCTGGAGCAAAAAAAAACTCGCCCCCAGCTTCTTCTTCCTCGGCTCAATCCCCTCGCTCGGGCTGCGCCGCGCCGCGCCTCCTATCCCTCGCCGCCCATCCCCGTCGACGCTTCCAACCCTCGCCGCCCGTCCCCGCCGCCGCTTCCAACCCTCACCGACCGTTCTCATCGTCGCCGCGACACATGAAACAACGACATCTGCGGTTGAGCTTGCAGCGGCGACGCTTGTAGCTCTCCCCGGTTGTAGCTCCGCCGCCGACCCTCGTCGTTGATGCTCATCGCTGCACGAAATTGCGTCGACGATGGCCGTTAGCCATCCACTGTGTGATTGCGGCTCGGTGGCGACACGCGCAGGTTGAAGCATTTTGCACATACGAATGAAGCTTTCTCTACAACGGATGCAACTTTTCTGGTTATGCAGTGTATGGTTGTAGCTTTCTTTTTCAATGGTTGTAGCTTTTTTCATCTACGGTCGAAGCTTTTCTATCAAACGGTTGCAACTTTTTTCTTTGTGGCAGCCTTGGTTAATGCTTTCTATATTGTTTCGGGTTGAAGCTTTTTCATCAAGGGTTGTAGCATTTTATGTCGACGGTTGTAGCACTCCGCCATGGCAATGACTGCTTGCAGCTTTTGATGTATCTAGTTGAAGCTTTTTTCATCTTGGTTTGAAGCATTTTATTGAACGGTTGTAGCATGAGGGCGTGCAGCAGGTTCTGCAATGCTTCCGCCATGTCTGCAGTGCGAGCGCCGCCCTCCTTGCAGCTCGCCGTCACCATGCTCGCCATCCATGATGGCAGCTCTCCTGGGCACCGGTTGCAGCAGGCCACGTCAGCTTCCACCGGGGCCGGCGAGCGAGGACGGCGAATGGCAACGGGGACTGCTGGCGCGGGTGCCCACCGGCGATGAGGACGACCGACAGGGGCGGCGAACGGCGCCGGCCAACTGAGATAGAGACCGACGAGATGAAATAGAGAGAGAGAAAGCAGCGTAGCCGCGTGGGGTGTTAATGGCGAGCGATTTGTGGGCCGATGGAAGGGGATGGCACAGGTCGCGCGTGACCGGCCGAGTGGTTCGGCCGGTGCCCCGGCCCCAAACGTTTCCCAAAAAAAAGCCCTCGTCCCTGCCACCCTAAAAAAGGAAAAAATAGCCCTCGTCCTTGCCACTCTGCGGAAAAAAATACTATAAGACCAGGTCTCACGGATTAGCAGGTGAGACCCATTCTGATGGATGACACGTGACATTCACAAATCACAAAACATGTCATTCATCAGAGCGGGTCTCACCTGATTTATATGAGACGTGGTCTCATATAATTTTTTTCCCCACTCTGCACCTCTTCTCCCTCGTCCCCTTCCCCTCCATCTCAATCCCTTCGCTCTCTCCTCTCGTCCCCTCACTGAATCCCCACTCGGCAAGAATCTCTCACTCACCAACACAAAATCAACCAATGCTGGCTGATTCCAAGATGGATCCAACGAATAGCAGGCAAGGGTCTTGTTCTTGAGCGGAGCAGCGTGAGCTTGAGGCCGGCGGCGGCGGCGGCTCTTGGTCCAGCGGGCCGGGGAAGGGGCGGAGGCTGCGACCTCACGCGGCGGCGCCAGATCTTTCTGATTCCGACTCGTTGGCCTCTCAATCTTAAATCTTTGCCTGCAAGCACGGCCCGCGATGCCGCCGGCGCGTGTGCGGGAGTTGGGGGAGATGTACGAGCTCGTGGAGGAGATCCTGCTCCTCATCCCGCCTGAGGAGCCCGCGGTCCTCATCCACGCCTCCCTCGTCTGCAAGGCGTGGTGCCGCCTTCTCTCCAGCCACGCCTTCCACAGCCGCTACCACACCTTGCACAAAACACCTCCAGTCCTGTGCTTCTTACAAAGGTGGGAGGACAACGTGGAGCGCTTCGTCCCCACCACAAAGTTCCGCCCCCGCAATCCCGAGCGGCGAGACAGTTATGTGCTCGACTGCCGCCATGGCCGCATTCTTCTTGGGTGTAGGTGGTACGATGAGGGGGAGGAGGACGATGAGGAGGAGGAAGCTGACGAGCAGTTGGAAGAGGAAGAAGATGATATCGAGGAGGACGGTGAGGGGGAAGAAGCTGACAAGGAGGAGGAAGAATATGATACGGATGAGGAGGGGGAGGAGGACGACGACGAAGATGAAGATGAGGGGGAGGAAGATGACAGGGTCTTGAAGATGGTCGTCTGGGACCCCGTGTCGGGAGGCCGAACCAAGTTGCGCAGCCCCGACATCTTCGACCCTGACGTCAATGGCGCAACCTATTGGGGCACGGTGCTATGTGCGGCGGATGGCTGCAACCATGCTTCCTGCAACTTGGGGCCATTTTTCGTGGCTTTAATCGGCCTTGACAGCTACCAGCCGTATGATGACGATGATAAGAGGCTGTGGGCGTCAGTATACTCATCAGAGAGCCGGGAATGGACCTCAACAGCCAGTATTCACATCGGTGGCGTTGGAAGATTTGAAGACTCCATCATCGGAAGGCCCAGTGTCTTTGTTGGACAAGCGCTCCACTTCCTCCTTCACGGGGATCCAACTGTGGCCAACATTTTTATTCTCAAGTATGACTTTCGTAGGCATCGCCTATCAGTCATTGATCTGCCAGAGCCGCGTGTTAGCAGTTGGACCCCCCTCCTCATCTCGGCGGATGACGGTGGGCTAGGGCTGGTCCACCTAGACCAGGATGGGCTATGCTCCATTTGGTCGGTGGAGGTGAGTGTTGATGGAGTAGCGTCGTGTATCCAACTCAAAGAAACGGACCTCAAGACACTTGTCCCCATTGGCAATCCCATGAGCTCAGACTCACTAAAGTTGGTTGGCTGGGTGGAGGGCACCGATATCATCATTGCAGTCACAGATCTTGGTGTGTTCACAGTTGATCTCAAGTCTTTGAGGTTGAGGAAGTTGTCGAGTAAGCCGTATAATTTCACATTCAAGCGAGATTCATTTAATAACCTCTTTCTCTACACGAGCTTCAACAATCCACCAGGTATATGTATATATGGTTTCTTTGAGACATATGCTACGTTTCGCTTGAGAAATTCGTCAAGTTAAACAAAGAAATTCACCTCCCATTGATGTGTTACTCAAAAATTCACCTCAGCAGTTTGAATCTCGGGCAAGCCGTTGAAGCATGGAAGTTGAGTTTGATCTTTTTGTGGTGGTTCTCATTCTGAGTCTTATCCTATGTTTGATATGGGAGTCTTAGCTGTGGTATCTTGTCAAGGGTCAGTTGTAAGTTGGTTACCCAGCATGCATGCATGCTTGCTCCTCTTTGCATGGCTTATCACACTGTACTTCCAGTAACTGGTGGAAGATATGGTCACAAAAATTGTCAAGCTCTTGTTCCTTCAGTCATTTTGTAGGCCTGTCATTCTGTTCCCTTCAACTCCCTTTCCCAGGCAAAATGCTTCCTGATTCTTGATATAAAATACTTACTGGGAGCCAGGCGTGTGTGTGCTTATGCTTTATGCTAGGTTCAATTTTGCTGTAACATAAGCTATTATATGTGCCTGGTTTTCAACTCTTGAAATAAATATGCAGGAGCGCCTGCAATTACAGTTATACCACTATATACAACTCAAAACCAGAAAAGCAATATGCAGGAGCACACCATTTCGATGTCCCTGCAAAAGGAAAAGGAAAAAAGGTACTCCTTCCGTCCTGAGAAAAACTGTCCTTATAATATAAGATCGTTTTGGTGTAGTAGTTTCAATAATATCGTCGCCAAACACAAAGCAGAGTATCTGGCCAGAAATACTGCAGCATTTCCAGCCATGCTCCTCAGCCATACAAGAGCCTCTGCACCAATCCAATGTAATTTATAGTTCTTTGACCAGAGTGTCGTCAACATGTTAGTACTAACATCAGCTATGTTTCTCCCCTCTCTTCATCAGGGCAAAAATGAGAAATAAAAATAAAGGAATCACATCTTGGGTCGTGGTCTTGCCATAGCAGCAGCACCATCCTTCCTCATCATGATCATCTAAGGAAGAAGGTGGAAGAAAAAGAATGGAGAATCCAGGAAGAAATCTGCTCAGTGGTGCCTGGCGCTATGGCCCCTGGGGCCATAGTAGTCCACATGGACCTCAGGCATCCTATGACCTGCCCTCTCTTTCTCTTCAGAGACGGCCTCCTCCACCTCTTCCCCTGATGATGGCTCAGCACCATCAGCCTTGATCGCCACCCCTTTCTCCATGGATTTCTGTGACCGATCGAAGAAAGCACGCAAGGTTAGAGAACGATCATCGCGCAACAACACATCGAATCACCGGAGACGACAGCCGCAATCACTTACATTGAGCACAGGGTTGCTGAGTGCCGTCTTGCTCACCGCATCCAGCCTGATGCCCTGGGCCATGGCCACCATCAGGAGCAGAAGCACAGCGGCCGCAGCCATCGGCAGGCATGTCTTCGCCATCTTGTGCGCCCAGTATCTTTATAAGGACCTTGAAACAGTTGAGCTGGGAGACGAACGCTGTTTCAAGCCTTCAAACTCAGCTCAGGTGGAATGGAACAACAGTGGGTCAGTCTCAGTGAAGAGCTGTGGACTCTGTTGTCTGAAGAACCATTTGACCCTGAGAAGACCATATATACTAGACACTTACACAGCAGACACACAACTTTGGTCAAGGGCACCGGCCCGGGCCCACCCGGTGATTGGTGTACTCATGTCTGCAGCCAAGGGTCTAACCTGAAGTACCAATGCAGGAATGTGGCCATTGTTTATGCACTCCCTGCTATGCTTTGGAAGAGTCTGTCTGCCCTCAACCATGGAGCCATGTTTATTAGGACGCTGGACCCCTGGATTAGGCGTGTAACGCCATGGGAAGGATGGAATTAAGAATTCTGTCAAGTGCACCTCAAGCAAGTACGTAATAATGGACACATCTGCTCCTCAAAGTTGCCTGCATGTCCTGGAGATGCACCGGGGCGCGTATATTTGCTCGCGCGTCCCTTCAGAAAACTGTGGGAGAAACCATTTGAATTTGGGCTGTTTAACTTTTTTCGCGCAAAGATTCTGTATCTTTTTATTGATAGAAGGAATCAAAATGAGTATAGACAAGGATACAACACATGACACGAATGCAAGGAGACGTGAACATAATGCCCGGAGCGGAGGGACAAGAGATGCTCATCCCGATCAGAGGAAACCACACAGCTAGACTCACAAAGCCCCGAACAGGAGAGGCGTACCGAACAAGTAAGACGTCTAACATCGTCAAAACGAACACCGGGGACACCGCGAGCTTTTATCTGCTTTGAAGATGAAGACAAGTATGAGCATGAAGATGAAAGGTATGTGTGGGCGTCCGTATACTCGTCGGAGACCTGCGAGTGGAGCTCGCCGGTTCACATCCAGGTTGGAATATTTGGAACCTGCATCGTGGGAAGGCCTAGCGTCCTCGTCGGACAAACGCTCTAGCGTCCTCGTCGGACAAGCACTTTACGTCCTCTTTGATCACCATGAACTAGTACGTCATACTAATACTAATTATAGTGTTTTCAAGTACGACTTGCCGACTTGGGTAGGCATTGTCTATCAGTTATGGATCTGCCGGTGTCGTGTGACTCCAACCGTCTCCTCATTTCGCCAGCCGACGGTGGGCTGGGGGCCATCCATCTAGACTCGCATAGGCTATGCCTCGTGTGATCGATGGAGGTGAGTCTTGATGGAGCAGTGTCATGGATCCAACTCAGAGAAACGGACCTCAAGATGCTTCTTTCTCCTGTTCGCAATCCCAGCTGGAAATCAAAGTCACCAAAGTTGGTTGGATTTGTGGAGGGCACCAATATCATCATTGTGGTCACTGATCTTCGTGTGTTCACACTTGATCTCAAGTCCCTGAGGTTGAAGGAGTTGTCGACTAAGAAGTACACACGCAATTACAAATGGTGATTGTTGGAGAACATCTTTTTCTACATGAGCTTCAACAATCCATCAGGTATGTCTAACTTAACCCTTTATGTATGGTTTCTATGATGCGATGATTGATTCACCAACATATGTTAATTTTTCCGTAAGAAATTCCCATACATTGCACCAAGAAATTCTCGTCCTACTGAGTACTGACCCGTTCTCTTTGCTCCATTTAGCGGTGGCTGGTGTTGTGGACGAGGACAACCCAAGGCCAAGTAAAGCAGGACGTATTGATGGCGGCAGTTTAAATCTCGAGCAAGCCGTTGAAGCATGGAAGTTCAGTTTAATCTGTAGGTGTTGGTTTTCATCCTAAGTCTTATCCTTTATGTTTGATATGGGAGTCTTAGCTATGGTATATTGTTAAGCGTCAATTTTAAGTTGGTTACCCAACATGCATGCTTGCTCTTCTTTGCGTGGCTTATCATGTTATACTTTCAGTAGTAAGTAGTAACCGGTGGAAGATATGGTCACAAAATTGTCAAGCTCTCGTTCCTTCTGTCATTTTGTTGGCTTGTCAGTCTGCTCCCTGCAACTTCCTTTCCCAGGCAAAATGCTTCCTGATTTTGTATATGAAATACCTAATTTGGATCCAGGCTTGTGTGTGCTTACGCTAAGTTCAATTTTGCTGCAACTAAGCTATTTTACATCCACGGTTTTCAACCCTTGAAGTAAAAATGCAGTTGCGGTTATACTACCATGCTACTACTCATGGTGCCATTTCGATGTCCCTGCAAAAAGAAAAGAAAAAAGGGCGCCATCTTGGTGTAGTAGTTTAATAATGTTGTAGCCCAGGCACAAAGCAGAGTACTTTGGCGAGAAAAACTGCAGCATTTCCGGCCATGCTCCACTAGTCAGTCATTTATACTCCACTAGTTTTTTCATCATATGTTGTCAACAAGTTAGTAGTACATCAGCTATGTTTTCCCCTCTCTTCATCAGGGCAAAAATGAGAAATAAAAATAAACGAATCACATCCTAGGTCTTGGTCTTGCCAAACAGCAGCATCCTGCCTCATCATGATCATCTAAAGAAGAATGTGAAAAAAAAGAGGAGAATCCAGGGACAAATCTGCTCAGTGGTGCCTGGCGTTATGACCTCTGGGGCCATAGTAGTCCACATGGATCTCAGGCATCCTGTGGCCTGCCCTCTCTTTCTCTTCAGAGATGGCCTCCTCCACTTCATCACCTGATGATTGCTCAGCATCATCAGCCTTGATCACCACCCCTTTCTCCACAGATTTCTGTAACCGATGTAAGAAATTTACACAAGTTAGAGAACCATTCCAAATAAGCAGAAGCACGGATCATCGCGCAACGACACATAGAAACACCGGAAACAACAGCCGCAATCACTTACCTTGAGCACCGGGTTGCCGAGCGCCGCCTTGCTCTTGTTAGAGAATATGTTTCCGTAACATCTCAAACTCCTTTCCTTCTCCTACTCAAACTCCTTGTAATATTCCTTGTACTCCAAGCTTGGCTTCGGCCGCATCAATCAATATAAACAGAACCGCGGCTCCCCTCGTGGGAGTAGGAACGCTTATTGTCTTTCATGGTAATCAGAGCCACCTCTTCTCCTACATCTAGCCACAAATCAAAACCCTAGAACCACATATCATCGTCTCCATGGCTTCTTCGTCCGGCGTCGGCCTCAACCTCGGATCGCCGCCATCTGAGAAGCTAGCAAGAGGAAACTTCATCCTCTGGAAGACCCAGGTGCTCCCAGCCCTGCGAGGTGCGCAGGTAACTGGGCTCCTGGACAACTCTGACGCCGCTCCACCCAAGACTGTGGAGATCACGAAGGCGGACAAGACGACGACCCTCAAGCCGAACCCTCTGTACGGGCCCTGGATCGCCAAAGACCAGCAGGTCCTGTCATATCTTCTCAACTCCATGTCTCCAGAAATCCTTGCGCAAGTCGTAGGGAAGGACTCCACCTATGAGCTCTGGACGACGGTAAACAATCTCTTCGCCTCACAATCACAGTCCCGGATCACCAATCTAAGGATCGCGATCACCAATACCAAGAAGGGCACAATGTCGAGCTCGGCGTATATGGCGAAGATGAAAAGCCTTGGGGATGAACTAGCTGTCGCTGGTCGTCCCGTCTCTGATCCGGAGATGGTGGACTACAT